ATCATTTAACAAATTTTTCACTCACTACATGTCATGTTTATGCCAATATACACGAGCTTTAAAAATAAGTCAGGCTCCAAGAAATTGCAAAATAATCCCCTCAATCATAGCTTATATTTTTGGACCATAAGGAAAAAGTTAAACATTTTATTATGAGATGTTTTTAAAATCTTTCTTTTCCGGAATACTAAAAGGCTAAAATGTTTAATTTGAAGAGAGTCAACTTTTTTTTTTTTGAAAAAAAAAAAACAAGTCCGAAGAAAATTAAGATGAAGGATAAAAGAAGTTTGGAGTTGTGATACAGTTACAGTGTACTATATATCATGAAGTTTAAATTTTTATTGTTATTCTTAAAATTTTTAGTTTTAAATTTGTGAGTTACTTTGAATTACATTACAAATTTAGCATCTATTTTATTATTTATTATTTAATTTGCAAATTCATAGAAGAATTAATAACTTTCCCGCATATAAGGCTCGCCTTCCACTCCAAGAAATTAATAGTGACCGATAACCATAACCATAGTTCCTCAAGCCCGCAATCAGTATTTTATTATCTCTCTCAATTATTACTTGCACGCAACCACTCTTCAAATGAAAATGAAAAATGTTTAATCTTGTCAATCACATGGGGAGTTTGTATATTAGGGCTCGTTTAGATCTATTTCTTTTATAAGCACTTTTATATAGGTCGAGACAAAACTCTCTTCACATATTTAATCACAATTGAAAAGATATTTTAAAAAGCTCCTTCCCCCATTCCAAACAAATCCTTAGTTGTTAAAACGTGATCTTGATCAAAATCAAATTCAAACTATCATTGAGACATCAATAAGAGGATAAAATTGTCGTGATTGAAATTTGAAATTAGTTTTAGTGCTCTTTGCAATGATGACCATGGCAATACTCATCATTTTATGGAACCAGTTTCAATCCTTGATGAGCACTCTAAGCTCATCAGATTTGGATTATCCATATCTCATTTGGAAGATCTAGATTTAAAATCTTTAATTAATTATTTTTAAATAGAAAAAATTATTTTTTGAAAGAATTATAGTTAGAAAATTATCTCTATTTTAAATTCTATTCATATTAAAATAATTATTTTAAATAAATAAAAATTAAAAAGAAATCAAATCTGGAGTATCTAAATGAGATATAGATGATAAAAATCTGAGGAGTTTAGAATGCTCATTAAAATGATGAGTACTAAAACTGGTCATAGTTTTGTTTTATTGTGAGATTTGCACTATTCAAATATACTTTGAACGATACATATTTGAAAATTTCAACTAATGTTTTTTTAAATAAAAACTGACTTTTGGGGGGGGGGGATCACAATTAAGATATTGCATATCATATTTTAGATTCGTACACATTAGACTAATTATTATAAGAAAAAAAATAAAAAATAAATCTGAACTGTTCAGATTAAATATATGAATGATCCAGATTTAGATGTTCATCTATATAATATTGACAATGACATCCTCCTTCATGATAAGGGCTGTAAGATGAGCATAAATATAATTGTTTTGAGTAATAATAAGAAGCTACACGTCAAGGAGAGAAGCACCAAGAAATTAAAATGAGCGTTGAAGTAGAAGTAATCTCCAAAGAAATGGTGAAACCATCGTCTCTCACACCTCAACATCTTCGTCATTACCATCTCTCCTTCATCGACCAGATAACTCCCCAAATCAACAATTCTATGGTCTACTTCTTCAATGCCGATGATGTCACAGACAAATTTAACATCAACGAAGCTTCCGATGTTCTCAAGAAATCATTATCTCAAGTCTTAACCCACTACTACCCACTCGCCGGAAGACTCATAACCAACAACTTAGTCGTAGACTGCAACGACGAGGGTGTCCCTTACGTAGAAACCAGAGTCAGGTGCCACCTCAGCACCGTCATCGGCAACCCGTCTCCGGCCGACGTCAGGAAACTGCTTCCCTACGACATGGATGAAATCGTCGATACAGTCCTAGGTGTCCAATTCAATGTCTTCGATTGCGGCGGAATAGCCGTCGGTGTAAGCCTCTCCCATAAGATCGCCGACGCGCTGTCGTATTTTGAGTTCATCAAGAGCTGGGCAGCCATGACACGCGGCGAATCACAGCCAATAAAAACCCACTTTCAATCTTCCTCACTCTTCCCGACAAAAGACTTGTTAGGATACGACCCGAATTCACACATCGGAAACCACAAAATCGTGGGAAAGCGGTTCGTATTTGAAGCATCGGTAATAGAATCTCTGAGAACAAAATATTCAAGAAAGGTCATTGAAGAAGGCCTAAAACCTCCTTCAAGACTAGAAGTGTTATCAACTTTCTTATTGAACCGGTTTATTGCTTCAACTAAAGAAGAAGGGGACAAGAAAAAGATTGACATGGTGACATCCACAGTGAATCTACGCACAAGAATGGATCCTCCATTGCCAGAATATGCGTTCGGGAACTATTACTGGTATGTTCAAATGTTTTCAACGTTAGATGAGAAAGGAGAGAACAACGACGACTTGGGAAGACAGTTAAAAGAAGAGATAAACAAAGTGGACAGCGATTTTATTGTGAAGCTTCGGGAAAGCAAAGAATGGAATCCTAATAGAGAAGATATGGCTAAAGCTATTGAGAAGGGTGAGTTGGTGCCTGTTACCTTCACTTCACTGTGTAGGTTTCCCGTGTACGAGGTTGATTTTGGATGGGGTAATCCTACGTGGACAGGACCGCCTACGTGGAAATTCAAGAATGTAATTGTTTTTAAAGACACCAAGTCAGGTGGAGGCATTGAGGCGTACGTCAACTTGACGAAGGATGACATGGCTAAATTTGAACGTGATGAGGAGCTTCTTGCTCACGTTTCTACAAAGGGGTTGAAATAATTTTATGTTTGTTTTATATATTTATATGCTTATTTTACAATTTATGTACTGTGTTCTTGTCTGTTGTTCACCTTCATTTGTCATTATTCAGAGCTTATCTGTTAATCACTTGATTAATGAAACTTGTGGGTTTGTTTTGTCATTAAATTATAAAGGTTCGAGTTTTATGTTTAAGAAAGTGTTCTAAAATATTGTTTACTTCTTGACCTCTGCACCCTTTTTTTTGGACATTGACTAAACACTGCGTCTTTTAATAGTGCAACTTGTTATCTAGTTTACATGTCAGATCGACGCGTTATTGTTTTACAAAGCACCCTTTATAAGTAAGCTAAATGTATTAGATTATTTACCAGTTTTTGGGCAAAGTAGATTATTTACCAATTACATGCTCTATACCCACCATAAAGTATTAAGAAAAATAGGATACATAAGAGCAAGTTTGAGAGGTTGGATTTGGTTCAAATATAAGACATTAATCTTATTTGTCTCCCAAATTTATAATGTTTTTCTCAAAATATCCCTGTTGATTGTAAAGGATTCCCGCTAAAAGGTGGTTTCAATACAAATTAATAATCAACTTAATCAATTTTCTTAATATCCACATAAATAAATGTAACATGATTTTTTCTAAAATATGTATATATAACATTATATATACACTATATATTAGTTAATAAGTTAAATAAATTAGTTTAATAAACAAATGATAAATATGAGAGATAAAATGGATTAAAGTATTACACTACCTCAAGTCCCTAAGATTTAGATTATAATTCAATTTGAACCGTACACTAAGTTTTATATTAAAGACTAAAGATAATATTTAAAACTAAATTCAATCCCAAACAGACGTTTTTTATAAATATGGACAGAGTACTAAATTAGGACCTCATTATAACTTTCAGTTTCATGCTCATTTCTTAATATTTTAGTATTGGAAATCTCTAAGTCCTTTTATGGTGTTAACCTGTTCCCTTGGATGATTAATTATCATTCTTCCTGTTAATCAGCTACTGTTTTGGTAGAGCTCTCATCCTTTGCCAAATAAAACCTTAGAGAATATAATGTTCTTAAGAAAAGATTTTAAGAATCAGGTTTTTTTACGCCATCAAATTTTTATTTCAGACTATACTGTCATTATAACAATGAAAAAAAAAAAAAAACAGAGACCACGACACTCAAGTCAATTAATCAAGATCATAATTGCATATGTCACAGATAATAACAATGGAGTTCATACAAGTCTATAGGGCCATGATTTCTTTTGTTTATTTATTATTATTTTTTCCCTAAAAAATGGGGCGAAAGCTCAGAATCCTCAATCATCAACTATGTGCAGAGATGTGGGAAAGAAACTCCCATCATATCACAGAAAAGTACATCAGATAATCCTCAAAGCGAACTATGCAACACAATCAAATCATCACCATATATGCCCTAAAGTATAGTTTAAGTTGCAAGCCAATCAGCTTTAGAATTTCCTTCTTTAATATGTTAGGATCCTACGGCAAAAATGCAAGAAAATAGAAGAGAAGAATTAAAAACTTTCAAGAAATAATAAATAGAAAAACTTTACTATTTTGGAGGATTTTTTTTCCTTCAATTCTAATTTGTTTCCTATTTTTCTTTCCATCTAAATAAATAATAAACTATGAGAAAAGATCACCTGGCATACTCTATAAACCGAGCGTAGCCACATATAAATTCAAGAAGAATTCTATTCCTTACCTTCGCTCCACTTCATGCCTCCTGCATCGGCTGAATAACAACATCCGTATCATCTCCCAGAAATAGTTTTAAAGTTCTAGATTCAGAAACTTCAACCAGTGATTTTTAAATAATTTTTTAAAAAAAATAAAACTGACAAAATTATTTTTATTTTACATTTTATACCTACCAAAATAAAATTTTACAAAATAAAAATAAAAAGAATTAAATCAAGACGATTTGAAGGTCAGAATTTCGGTGTTTGATGAGCACCCAACCAACTCCCATTAATTAATTAGCCATCCTCGTCCATGATGAGAATTATAAGTATAGATAGAGATGATCATCATAATTGTTGAGCATAATCAGAAGCTACACGTTAAGGAGAGAAGCACCAAGAAAATAAAATGAGTGTTGAAGTAGAAGTAATCTCTAGAGAAATGGTGAAACCATCGTCTCCTACACCTCGACATCTTCGTCATTACCATCTCTCTTTCATCGATCAGATAACTCCCCAAATCAACAATTCTATGGTCTACTTCTTCACGGCTGATTCTGTCACAAACAAATTTAACGTCAACGAGGCTTCCGATGTTCTCAAGAAATCGTTGTCTCAAGTCTTAACTCACTACTATCCACTCGCCGGGAGACTCATGACAGACAACTTAGTGGTAGAGTGCAACGACGAGGGTGTCCCGTACATAGAAACCAAGGTCAGGTGCCGCCTCAGCCACGTCACCGACGACCCCTCTCCGGCCGACTTCAGTAAATTGCTTCCCTACGACATGGATGAAGTGGTGGACACAGTCCTAGGTGTCCAATTCAATGTCTTCGATTGTGGTGGAATAGCCGTCGGAGTAAGCCTCACCCACAAGATTGCCGATGCGCTGTCGCATTTCCAATTCATTAAGACCTGGGCCGCCGTAACACGCGGCGGACCAGAACCAGTCAGAACCCACTTCCAATCTTCCTCTCTTTTCCCGACAAAAGACTTGTCGGGATATGATCCGAATACACACATAGGACAGCACAAAGCCGTGGGCAAGCGATTCGCTTTTGAAGCATCCGTAATAGAATCTCTGAGAACAAAATATTCAAGAAAGCTCAGTGAAGGCCAAAAACTTCCTTCAAGAGTAGAAGTCTTATCAACTTTCCTATTCAACCGGTTTGTTGCAGCCACAAAAGAAGAGGGCGACAATAAGATTCATTTAGTGACATCCACAGTGAATCTACGCACAAGAATGGATCCTCCATTGCCAGAATATGCGTTCGGGAACTATTACTGGTACGTTCAAATGTTTCCAACGTTAGACAAGAAAGGAGAGAGCGACGACTTCTTTGGAAGACAGTTAAGAGAAGAGATAACCAAAGTGGACAACGATTTTATTGTGAAGCTTCGAGAAAGCAAAGAATGGAACCCTAATAGAGAAGATATGGCTAAAGCAATTGAGAAGGGTGAGTTGGTGCCTGTGGCCTTCACTTCACTGTGTAGGTTTCCCGTGTACGAGGTTGATTTTGGATGGGGTAATCCTACGTGGACAGGACCGCCTACGTGGAAATTCAAGAATGTAATTGTTTTTAAAGACACCAAGTCAGGTGGAGGCATTGAGGCGTACGTCAACTTGACGAAGGATGACATGGCTAAATTTGAACGTGATGAGGAGCTTCTTGCTCATGTACCAGTCTCCTCATCTACGAGCTCTACCAAGTCAAAGGGATATACTTTAGTAACTCTAAACGGACCTTCCCACTTATCACATCCAGCATTATAGTAATTAGAGATAAGAAATATTCTCAAATTATTGAGGATTAAAAATGATAAGAAAAAGTCAAAGGATTTTGGTGGAAAATAATTACAGTAATTTTCCAAGCCAATTATAGGAAATTGACTAATTAAGGAAAATTGGTCAAATGTAAATAAGGAAAAATATTTCCGAGCCTTGGAAAATTAAGAAAAAATGGGGATAATATCTTTTGAGAGTTATATGAAATTATAAAGCTGGTTTTATGACCAAATTACCCTTAGAGAAATTATAAGAGAATTTAAGGGTGATTTAGGCTAATTAAGGAATTTTATTTAGAAAATTCCAAATAAATATTTTTAAGGGGAATAAAATTCCAAGAAAATTCCTATGAGATCCCAAGGAATTATAAGGAATTATGGAATTAAATGGAGACCCTCAAGTATCCAAGGTTTTTCCAAATAATTTGGAAAAGTGGAAAAATCCCTAAGAAGAAGGGAATTAATTTTCCTTTTTAATTAATTATTAGGAAATTAATTTTGAGACAAAGAGGGCAATTTGGGAAGAAAATAATGAGGAGAATAAATTAAGGATTTGATAGAAAATAATTACAGAGACTAAGTTATTGTAATTATAGAAAAGAAGTTAAACTCAGAGCCTAAAGTATACCGATAAAGCAAGATTAGTGTCTTGCAAATCCAAGGGATCCTATTGAGCCATGTGTCAAGCTCTTGAAGGAGAAGATTTGAATTAGCCAAGTGTCATTCCATAAATGGAGAGGATTTTTGACTTTAGTAAATAATTTCATTTGGAATTATGTTAATTATGAAATTTGGCATGATGAAAGATAACGTCCTGAGCTTCAATTTGATAGCTAATAAGTTAAAAATGGCCCAGTATACGATTTATAATGATTTTTCAAAGTTAATAGTCAGAATCTGGGAATCAGAGTTTTTGGCAAATGGACAGTGTTGCTTTTCTCAAGAACCTGACGCTTTCTCATAAGGAATTGGACAATGAGATTATTTTTCCTTGAAAGAGGACTTAAAGAGTTTTAAGTAGAATTTTGAATCACCCCAATTGGATTTTTGTAAAATAAGTTATGAATTTTTTAAGTTATGCCAAAAAAACTGGATTCTTACCCGATGAACAGTAAAAATCCGAAAATTAGCGTTTTTATAGAAAAAAAGTGAGCCCAAGACCATCCAATATGGTCTAAAATGATTTTGGAAGGAACCTAAGTCAATATAATAGTAAGGTGTGACATTTTTGGTATCAAAGTGGAGGTTCTGGCATAAGATAGAACGCTCTGCTTAAGTATCCCTTGGATGTTTAGAACAATACCTATTTTCAGAAGTCAAGATGGGGATTACCATGGACTGGGATACTAAACCTAAGCCGTCAGTCAACACTTGGGATCCAATAGTAATTGATCTCACCAAGGACGAGGATCCAGAGGAATGGGTAATGGGAGATGCCAGCCCTAGCCATTCATTAGTGTGCTCCAATGATTGTGTTGAGCACTACCCAGAGCTGCTAGGGATCACGACAGAACAGTTGCTGTACCTCCCACGACCCGGAGACCTGGTCAACCCTGTAACTGGCCTATACCAAGAGCCATTAGATTTAGATCTTTATGTTCAGTCTCTTAAGCAGTCTGTTACTCCTACTATGTACCAGTGTAATATCCCTGGACCCAGTACTGTACCAGTTGTACCCCCAGCCCTGGCAACACTTGTAGCACCTGCAATACCATTTGTACCTGCCCTAGTTCAGCCTAGTCATGAGATCCGTAGTGTGGGTCAGCTGAGTGATCGGCTGAGGTTCCTAGGGCGTCACATCAAGAGGGATGTTGATGCAGACCTGAGAGTACACCTAGATTACCTCCAAGGTGTGAGAGAGCTGTATCAGGCCCATAGACCAGGCAACCCTTACCTGGATCCTTATGACTAGCGGAGTGAGATGGTAGAGGTCCTACCCAATACCCCTTTCTGGACCCATGAGATCACCCGCCTAAACTACCTGCTGGGAGATGATGTTGAGGACTGGATCCGAAGCCTCGAGGGCTTTGTTATCGTTCATTTTCTTTAGATGATTAGGATGTTCTTATCACTGACGTAGGATGTATTTTGGTACAACTAACCCTAGTAGGTTAGGTTGTTTAGTGCTTGGTTGCTGTATGTTGATTTTATTCTGGCTGGTTGATGTTTAGGTGCTAATTGCTGTATGCCTGTTTTGATAATGAAATCCAAGCATGATATTTATTTTCTTGCTCCTTGTTATGTTATTCGGTTAGTTAAGCGATGATTAGAACCCGACGAAACCTTTCACCAGAGAGACCCCCAGTGCAAGATGCAAGGGTCCCTCTTGATCCATTTCAAGTAATTCTGGATCGCCTTAAGGAGTAGCAGAAAACCATCAAGGATATGCAAGCAGCGCAAGCTCGCCAGGAACAAGACAGAGCAGCAGCAGTAGCAGCAACATTAGCAAACCTCGAGAGGAGGCAATCAGAGGAAGAAGTCTCTCAGACCAGCACCAGCACCAGACCAATTACCTAGGCCGGCAGTACCACTGGCAGACCCTAACAGTATCCAACAATGGATGACCCGCTTCTGTAAGCACAACCCGCCCTCGTTTGATGGAACATTTGATGTGCAAGCGGAGGAAGAGTGGATTAACCATCTAGAGAAGATTTTCAAGGTGCTAGACTGCTCATCGGAGCGAAAAGCCCAGATGGCGATATATAAGCTAAAGAAGGATGCTGATCGCTGGTGGAAGAACACTAAGATTCTTCTGGATGCTTGAAACACGATGGTAACTTGGGAAGTGTTTCTAGAGCAATTTTATGAGAAGTACTTTCCGAGATCTGTCCGAGATGAGAGAGAAGCGAAATTTCTGACTTTGAAGCAAAGGGATGATGAGCCTTTTGATGAATACTTGTCTAAGTTCATCCGTCTCTCTCATTATTCAAGCTATCTCTGATATAGAGATGATGAGAGGTGGACGATAGAGAAGATGGTTCGAGGACTGAGGCCATCATTGAGGGAGATGATTGCTCCTAGACAATTTGAGCTGTTCAATAAAGCAGTGGAAGCTTGCCGAATCACAGAAAGCAGCTTCAACCATCATCTAATGGTCAAGACAACTCCCAGAGTAGAGAAGGGAGGTCAAGGAGGTCAAGGTGCTACCTCGTCCAACGTGAATAAGAAGAGGAAGCAACCTTGGAACAACCGCAAGAGCAAGAAGGGCGGTAAAGCACTAAAGGGCAAGGAGTGTCCTAAGTGTGGCAAGAATCACGGTGACAGACCGTGCATGGCTGGGCAGAATGTTTGCTACACCTGTGGCAAACCTGGACATTTCTCGAGGGAGTGCCCTCAGAACACCGAGTAGGCAAGACCACGCACCCAGGGCCGAGTGTTTGCCATCACAAGAGAAGAAGCCCGAAAGTCTCCGGAGATGATCCAAGGTACGATCATGATTAACAATTCTCCGGTGATTGCAATGTTTGATTCGGGTGCTAGTCATTCTTTTATTTCATATGCCTATACGGAAAGACTTGGCTTGAGTATAAATACATTGCCATATGATATACATGTGTCTACCCCAACACAGAGTAGGGTAATTACATCTGATGTATGCCTGAACTGTATAGTTTGTTATGAGCACTGTTGCACTGCTATAGATTTGATATGCATGCCTTTCCATGAGATGGATGTGGTGATTGGACTCAATTGGTTGTCATCCCACAATATCCTAATGGATTGTAAGAACAAAACCCTAATCTTACCCATGAGGGATTTAGAGTTGAATCCGGAAGTTAGATTAAACTTCATTACGGAAGCCCAAGCGGGCAAATGCTTACAAAAAGGTTGTCAAGGATTCCTCGTTTTCTTCTTAGTGCAAGTCGAAGTCGAGGAAGGGATAGGAGAAATCCCAGTGGTTAGGGAATTTCCGGAAGTGTTTCTGATAGAGATCGCAGGATTACCCCAGACAGAGAAGTAGAGTTCACAATTGACATAGTACCTGGAGCAGGACCAATTTCTAAGGCCCCTTATAGAATGGCTCCTAATGAAATGATAGAACTTAAGAAGCAGATAGAGGAGTTACTTGAAAAAGGTTTTATTAGACCAAGTGTGTCGCCATGGGGTGCTCCAGTGTTGTTTGTCAAGAAAAAGGATGGTAGTCTAAGGCTGTGCATAGACTATAGGGAGTTGAACAAGGTCACAGTTAAGAACAAGTATCCACTCCCTAGGATAGATGATCTGTTAGACCAGCTAGTTGGAGCCAACGTATTCTCTAAGATTGATCTAAGATCGGGCTATCACCAGCTCAAGATTAAGTCTGAAGATGTCCCTAAAACTGCGTTTAGAACCCGATATGGGCACTATGAATTCTTAGTGATGTCGTTTGGATTGACGAACGTACCTGCCATATTCATGGACTACATGAATAGGATTTTTCGTCCTTACTTGGATCAATTTGTGGTCATATTCATTGATGACATCTTAGTGTACTCCAAGTCTCCAGAAGAGCATGAGGAGTATTTGAGGATTGTCCTAAACACCCTGAAAGAGAAACAGCTGGTGGCTAAACTTAGTAAGTGTGAGTTTTGGCTCCAGGAAGTCCGATTTCTCAGCCATGTGATTTCCCAAGAGGGAGTGGCTGTCGACCCCAGTAAGATTGAGGTAGTACTCAACTGGGAGAGACCCAAGATGGTGACCGAGATCAGAAGTTTCCTCGGACTAGCAGGGTATTACAGAAGATTTATCCAGGACTTTTCTCAAATTGCTCTCCCGCTGACCAAGTTAACCAGGAAAAACCAGCCGTTCTTGTGGGATGAGAAGAGTGAGGCTAGTTTTCAGGAGCTGAAGAGGAAGCTCACTTCTACTCCTGCACTCATACTTCCCGATCCTTCACAACCGTATGTGGTTTATACAGATGCTAGCAAGCAGGGACTGGGATGTGTGCTTATGCAGCAAGGGTGAGTAGTAGCCTACGCCTCACGCCAGTTGAGATCTCATGAGGAGAAG